CACCTGGCATTGCCTTCTTCCTGGTGCTTATACTGCCCTATTCAGCAGATCTTATCTGTCTCCTTCAGTCATCTTTTATGATCTAACTCTCCAAGTTTCAATTTCCTGGTGTGTCAGACCAGAAGGTCCCTGATGTACATCCAGGTGCTCAGAGAATTAGGTTTTAAGACAACAGTACAGGCTTAAAAGTTCATTTACATAAATATAAATAGCTCATCCTGAGAAGGTAGGCACAGGGGATGCCTGCACTTTGAAAGTCATCAATTAAACTGACAAGTCTTTCTTTAGAAAAATTCAAGATTTTTTTTTCTCTTTTATTAGCATTGATTTGTTAATCATTACTATGCACCTAGACTGCATTTTCAGGACTTTTCCTTTAAATAAGGTCATTAAAAGGTATTTAGAAAATAAGAAAGGCATCCTTAGACACAGATCACTGTAGAAGCCTTAACTTTGACATGGTCATCACATACATAGAATAAAAATGTGTTTCCTATTAAGTGCTTTCATCTACCATCTGCAATGAAGGATAAGACATGAAAGAATTGAAGAAGCACCTTCTCAGATGCAAAGCACTCATCGTTCAGAGGTTTACTTTAGTTGTCAATACCAAATAATGACCTTGAATCCCTATAGAATTATATTTTAAATTGGAGTACTGGGTCTATTTGAGATGGGGTTAATTTTCCTCATAGCAGCCCGTATGGTGCTGTATTTTGATTCTGCGGTTTAAGCAGCATCAATAATACACCCATGTTTTAGCTATTTCTGAGCAGTGTTTGCTCAAGGCTGCCTCTGTTTCCCACTTTGCTCCCCCAGTGAGTAGGCTGGACAGCTGACCCAGATTGACCCATGTGGTATTGCATGTCATACTCAGAAATAAAAACCGAGGGGGTGGATGGTTTAGGGAAGCTACTCATTGCTTGGAAACTGGCTGGGAATTAATCTGCCTCTGGGAGGCAGTGAGTGACTGCCTTTATATTACTAGTTTGTTTTTTTATTTCTTCTTACTCCAAGATTTTATCTCTCTTTTTGTCTTCACATTCTCTCCCCTATCCCACTGTGGGAGCTAAGCTGATGTCTAAGGTCAAAACACTGTCATTGGGATGAATTTGAGTCAGGGGAAAACATAGTTCCTTCACAATCTTCCTGTAAGGATGCCTTTTGCCTTCAAAAGAAGACAGAAATTGTCAAAAAGTAAACAAGCTCTGGTTAGCATGTGTTCACATGCACTAATTGAATGCAGGAGCATGACCTCAACTACTGTAGGAAACAGTCTTGCAACTCATGGACTTGTGCACAACATATATCCAAAGACATGAGTTAATAATATGTACTGTATGCTCATCACAGGCTACTGTGGGTACAGGAAGTTGAAGAAAATCTTCTAAAATATTCCAGTTGTATCACATGGACCACTATCTACTGTACATATGCTGATGCTCAGTAGTAGGGGAACTCTGGAATGACCACATCCTTGGAAAAACAAGTTAAATATCATGATTAGACCATGCCAACAACACATAGCAGTGCAGTTCCTCTGGTGACAATGCACCCACATGGTGCTGGTGGGGTTGTTTCTACTGCTGTCTTCACCCTGGGTGGTGCAGTGAATCCAAGCAGATCACATCACTTGCCTTTGAAGCTTCCAGGCATAAGTAGGGGCCATAACCTCCATGGCACACTGCTTTGATGCCTTAAAGTGTGCTGGACACAAGTAGCCCATCTAGGAACACCTGCTGTGCATTTATGGCAGATGACAGTGCCCTGGCTGGAGGTTTTTCTGGCCAAGCAGATGCTGAGAAAGAGCCAGAGGGGCATCTGTGGTTGCAGGGAGGCTGGTGAGAGAGGCCAGACCCCACAGAGGGGATGAGGCAGCCATGCCTGGTGAAACAGCCTCTCAGGAGGGCCAACAGAGGTTCAGGGGTGTTAGGAATGGCATGGGAGGGATCCAGGCACTGCAGGGAGGGAGTAAAGGCAGGTCCTGCATGGGGAGACAGAAATGAGGGCCATGAGGCCTGCAAGGACCTGCAAGGGAAAGGGGTCCATGCTGATGGGTGGCACGGGATGCCATCAGGGTCCACCCTCAGCCAGGGCCGGGCAGTGACCCAGCCCTGGATGGGTGATGACCCACGCCAGCACCAGCACTGAGCCATGGATGTCACTCTGAGCCAGCGTGGGACCCCGGAGCCCCCATGTCACATTCCGTCCCCCTCCAGGCTGCACTGGCTGAGAGGCACCAGCCCCATGGTGTAACCCGGCTCTGCTCTTGCAAGGATGTTTCTAATCATAGACTAAGGGGAAGAAATTAAACATAAGGGCCATGTACAAGTGTTGGTTTTCCCTAACAGGGATTTACAGCCCAGCTCTGGAAGTCCTTTGGTGAAGGGCCCTGGGCTCAGCTTGGCAGTAAGGAAGGATGGGCTCACATTGTCATCACCATCACTGCACACAAACAAGGTTTTGCTCCTTCTTTCACGCATGAGCTGTAGGAAAAAAACAGGCAATTGCTGACAGCTGGGTGCAGAGGCTCTTTAGCCCCTTTTTCCTTGACCGCCAGTGCCTAAACTGTTTCATTTAGGTGGCACTTTGTGACCGCAAATGACCGCGCATATGTCCCTTCTGCACGGCCGATGCCTCTCACCGGACAAGCGCAGCAACAGCAACATCTAGTGGCAAGGGGGCTGGTGCCTGCAGCACGGCAGAAACCACCTCCCACTTACGAGAAGGATAAGCCAGGCTCAAACAATCAAGGTTAGAAAGTAGCAAACGAAAAAAAAAATCTGCATTAATTTTTATTTCAAAGTTTTAGCATGTTTGCATGCATACCTAACATATAGAATATACAAATATCTCAAAAATAAACTAGTCTTAAGTCGTTCTTTCCTTCACATGACTAACACTAACTACTTCAAACATCAACTGATTTGATGACAATATGTTTATATCCTATTTAGCATGCTTAGATTTTACGCATCAGAAGCATAACAGCAGAATTTCAAGGGAAATTATACATGCAATTATGGTTTTGTTAGGTACTCAGTCGGTGAACAATATGATGCCTTAAGCATCAGAGAAACATTAGATGTACAGCAAAGCATTCAGTTCTCCTGCAAGGACAGGATTTGACCTTGTCTTTCCTATGCAAGTTTCAAAACAATTCAATTTTTTTTTCCTCTTTTTCCCTTCTGGCACAAATCCTTGGTTTTGTATGCCAAATAACCATTGTTCAAGATAGAAGATTTTTTAGTTAAAACATGCACTTAATCTACATCTCCTCATTGCTATTGTACCGAGTCTGGCTGGGATGGAATTAAATTTCCTCACAGCAACCCATATAGTTCTCTGTTCTAGATCTGTTATCAAACCAGTGTTGATAACACAGGTATATTTTAGCTGTTGCTGAACAGTACTTTCACAGCATCAGAACATTCTTTGTTTCTCACCCTGACCCCACATTGAGTAACCTTGGAGTGGGTAAGGGGCTGGGAGAGGTCATAGCAGGTACACAGCTGACCCAAACTGACCAGAGGAATATCCCATATCATGAAACTTCATGTTCAATGGTAAAAACTATGGGTAGTTTTTCCAAGGCAGCTGCTGCTGAGGGCGTTGTTTGGCATCAGTTTGCTGGTGGGAAGCGGTGAGTGATTGCCTTTGCCCCCCCTTGGAATATTTTGGTTTAGTTTTTTCCCTTACCTCTTTCTTTCACTTGTTGAACTGTCTTTATAATGACCCATAAGGTCTTTCTTGCCTTTCCTCACTCAGTTGTCTCTCTCACACTGCTGGAGGCAGGGAGTGAGTATGCAGTGGGTCTGTTGTGTGATTGCTGGTCAGTGTAACCCACCACAAACAAGCTTCCTTTGCCTAATATCCTGTTCCAAATATGCACATTGCACTGTGTCCAGAGCTACCAAGTGTGATATTTCCCATACTGCTGGATATTGCAGTACAGTTCCAAATTTTCACAAGTTAAACGATATACTAAAGGAAATGCAGCATCGTTTTTCATACCCAGAACATTTGTTGTGTCTTGGCTTCATCATGAACTCATCCCTGGACACTGCCTTGCACTTAAATTGATCACGTACAACCAAAATTTCCACACCCCCAAATTATCACAACAAAACTCAAGTCTGGACTTGTGCTCCCCCAAGTCCATTCCTCATCCATTATGCTTTTTCCATTAAGTATATTTTTCATAGATGAGAAGAACCACAGCAAGAGGGCACCTTTCCCCTCTATTCAGTTTCTGGTTAGAGAAAAACTGTCTTCTGCAGCAAGGTTCCTCCTGAAATCTGGTATATGTATGCAATGCATATACAGAAATTCAGTGCTTAAACCCTAAGGAGGATATACAATGAGTATGTCTATTTCTCTAATAGCAAATCATATTACTAACCCTGTGCAGACCTTGTGTTAATGCTGTTCTACACCCTGCACCAATGTGTGTCACGAACTGTAGGAAGGAGACAATTCATTTGCTAGGTTATTTTAATTTTTTATTTCCTATATCAGCTATCCTTCATTCCTGTGCTTTGGGACTGAATTGCAGGTTCAAAAGAGGCTCATCACAAGGAGATAAGACTTTTCTCTGTGCTATATCAGTCCACAGGGAATGTGAAGAAATTGGGAACTCACTACAGTGAACACTTTTATTTTACAGGAAGCAAACAGTACAATTTGAAAAATATCTTTGTCAAGTACTGTGTTAATGTTGGAAAAAATAGGGGTAAAATGTGAAGCAGAGACTGTGAACAGATAAGGAAGTATAATCTCTCCTTGGAAGGCTTCTCTTCAGAGGTAATTTCTTATGGAGGACATGTTAATTTATTTTTCCCACTCATAGACAAACAATCTGTATGTGTTCAACAGTTGGTGTTCCTACTGACAATGTGTCAGCTTACAAAAGGGATGATTGCCCTAAAGAAAAACTAAGTGGATGGCATATTTCATCTTCCCACTTATGCATGCAAGATGGCAGAAGAAAGAAGAGAGAATTATTTCCTTCCTAAAACGGCATCATAGAGTTTTCCAGTTCTCTTTACTTGAATCACTCCAAAGCCAGCTGCCTCCAGGAGCTTGCTGTACTCTGCTGCTGTTCTCTCTTTCCCTTCTGTCTGGACCAACATATTCATTGAATACAGTTGGGTTTCTACAGGTCCACTTTTGTCTTCATTCAGAAGGGATTCAACCAGCAGCACTCCACCACCTGATGGAGAGAAGAAAAAGCAAGCACACTCTGACATTAAGTCACTTTTCAGCATCACAGAAAATAGTGAAAGAGCCAAAGCATGTCTTTGCTTGGCCATGTAGGTACTGATGTCCCAGGGAGGAAGGGGGTGCTATCACTGGGATAGAAATTTCCCATTCTTCCCAGCTGAAGTTGACAGGACCTTACTGATTTTGCTCAGAAGATGACTCTGTAGGCAGTGCTTTCAAAGCTCCTAGGGTTCAGTTGAATGTTTCATGGGAGTTTTTCTATCATGTATACACTTGTCTAACAGCACAGTGTTCTGGCACATATCTGATATTCCTTCTGAGAGCAATTATTTTTAAAATAAAATACCAGAAAAGATTAAAGAGTTAACTCTTCTCTGAAAAAATATTTCACACAATTTTCTCATAAAAAGGCACAAACATTGCTAGACATTAGATAACCACTCTGTTCGATTTCATAATCTTGTACAAAAATAAACTAAAAAAGATGGCAGCTGAACCTGAAGCACAAAGATAATGCAGGTCTCTCCCCTTGGAGATGGCTGAACATCATCAGAGACACGTATGGAGCCCTCACAGCCAGACATGCAGACACAGAGCTCATGAGAGCAAAGAGACAAGGGCTGATCAAAGTGAACTGTGTCACCTCCAGCCTAATGGTAACACTCTTAGTGGCCCCTGGAATCAAAACATTGGGAATCACAACTTTGGTATTTAAAAAGGAATCACTGCAGACTAACCTTATTTGGCTTCCTCTTTCCACATGTAGAAAGATGGGAAATTAAAAACGGAGCCACTAAACCAGGCACTGGGAAAGCAGGGCTGAAGCCCACAAGGGAGCCGTATGACTCTTATGAATCCTGGCAGTTCTCAGCAGCACTGGGACAGCAGTGTGAGAGGCTTCTGAGAGTCTCTCAACCTAATGGCAGTGAGTGAAGGGCAGAAGGGAAAGTCTGGCACCAGAAAAATGTATCGAGCAGGCATGAGAAAAAGCCACAGCTGCCATGTACACAAGGGGATAAACCACCACTCACACGAATGAGATGGTAGAAAAAACATTGAGCTTCCTAAAGCTCTCATCACTCTCACATTCCTCTTTTTAATCCAAACAAGACAGTAAAATGCTCCCTTTACAGCTTACAAGATTCTGACATATGTCCTGTTTTCCAATGTCATACTTATATTATAGGAGTTATATTTTTTTTCTTTTCATAGTTTGTGAAAGACGGTTTAGAGGCTTGTTAAGGAAGATCTATTGTCAGTCACATCCCAGGTCACAACCCTGCCTGAATGAGAAACGGTATAATGCAGCAAGAACATCTTTACCACATTTACTCCACAGAGTTCTGTCCATTTATGAATTTCAGCATTTCTATTCAGCATTAGTTTCATTGGACACCAGTTGTTATTATATCTTTCTTGTATTGTGGAGCCCAAAGCTACACACAGTGCTCAAAGTGGGACTGCACCTACCCTGAGTATAAGTGGGTCAAGGACTTCTTTCCGCAGCTCAGTTATACTGTGCTTAATACACCCAATGAGGCAGTTGTCCATTTTGGCCAGCACAGCAAACTGGTGATTCCTATTGAGCTTACAATCAATCAAAACTCCCAGATCCCTTCCTGCAGAACTACGCTCAAGCTCCAGGACCCCAGTCTATAAGTACATCCAGGATTACACCATCCCAAGTGCAGAATCTGGAATTTGTCCTTCTAAAATTTCATATGGTTGGTGATTGTGCAGTGGTCTAATCCATCAAGATAACTCTGTAAGTCTTCTTTACCCTCAAGGGATTCAATGCTTCTCCCTAACTCAACATCATAAGCTACCTAGTTTAGCATCATTGGCAAACAACTTGGTAACATCCATCAGGGGGAAGACTCTTTTATCTTCAGTTAGAACATGGCTGAGATTACTTCTCAAAAACATGGCAAGAATGTGAATTTTGAAATCACTATAGATGGTTAATGAGGAAAATTCAAACTGAAATTGAGTAGAGGAATTTTATGCAAATGCACATACACACAGGAAAACAGCATCAGCAAACATTAAGGAAATTGAAACTGCTCCCTGTCTGCCTTAATGATATGCAGTCTGGGAGAGAGTCATTATAAAACACTCTGTATTCACAGTCCCTTCCATCTGAAGGGATATAATATACAAATGTTATCAAACTTAACCATCTGCATGGCAAATTAGGAAGGGGAAGAAAATAGGTAAAAAATCTTGTTCTTTGCATGTTAGAGTGGGGGAAAAGGCAATTGAAGTCACCCCTTTGTTTCTCAAACTTCAAAAATTAAACATGGGAAGAAATTCCATAGAAGAAACCTTCCACATTTAAGGCAGTCAGACAACAAGCCCTCATGTATAAACCACTATATTTTTAAACCTTCATGCAGAGACAAGGACTACTCAACCAAGCCCCCAAAGGTGAGTGGGGTCTCAATAAATGTTAAGTCCATCTTGAGGACCAGATCTGTCTTAGTTGTTTGTTGTTGTTTTGTTTTTTTTTCCCTTTAGACTTCTATCAAGCTTGTTCAAGTTCAAATTCAGTTTACATTATGATGCTTTATTATGAACTATTTTATTCTCAGAGAAGAATCTCCCTGAGCATTTCAGTCTTAGACATCTATATAAGATTGAGTTATATTTCTTACCTTGAGGACTAAAAATCCATTGATGTATTGCATAACGATTTGAGAATAGTCAAGGTCTTCTGTCAAATACATCTTTCTGGTCTGAGACACAGATTTCCTGGCTCTCTTAATTTAAATAAGCTTCTTTCTACCAGACACAGAGTACAGCATCTGATCCACATAATCTTATTGCTTCTGAGAAACACACTGGTTACAAAGCATGTTATTTGGCTTTGATCTTCTTCTATCAGGTTCAGCTGTTTCTTCCATCATCAAGTATAAGGCTAAAGAAGCAGTGTGGATTAAGCTTGTATTGTCAATTCACCAGTCTGCAACACACTGGCACCTCAGAAGCACTTGAAAGCTGGTAACAAGGAAAACAGGAATAACTACAGAAGAATACCAAGAACCTGAACTCAGCATGATGTACCAGAGTTCATAAACCAAAGCAGAATTTTACTTTAGACTTGTTCAAAAGCATAGATGTTCCACTGAACTGGTTTTTGGTGTGGGAAGGCTTCACAAAAAGAAACAAGATAGCAAGGGATAGAGTGTAATATGAAGAAAACCTCTATTAATCTAGCATGCAGCTCAGCCAGACAGGTGTGGGGAACAGCAGCTTGCAAAACATGATCAGTACATTTTCCCTCACATTTCCTCTATTTCACTAGGCTGGTTCCTCCCCTACTCACCTTGATTCCTTCATTTCCCACCTTTGGCCCTTTCTCTAAACACTCCAAGTTTCCCACAAGTCCCACAATAATTACCACAGGCCCACTTTAACTTCCCATGATGTTGTCATTCTGATAAGCCCTTTGATAATTTTGTTTCTGCCCTTCTTCTTAGCTAAAAATATTTGGCTGAATTTCTTCATGGCTTTGTGGGCATCCTCCAGTGGTCCTCCACTAAGGGGACAGGGATTTCTAATATTTGTCACTGTGCTTCCCATTGCCTATTTGCTAGCTTTTTGCACCTAGATGTGTTTGATTACTGCTTTTGTCTCTTGCATTTGTCTGTGAGGCTGAAGAGCCCTTAACAATCTGTCTCAAAACTCAGGTAGTGTCACATTATGGATATCTTAATATTCTTAACATTCAAAATGTCGTAATATATACAGCTCAGAAACAGTATCTGTTTCCCAGCTTCTAATACTACAGGATATCCTGTGGTATCAAAATACTAGGCCTAAACACACAAAAGTCAGAGCAAATTCCAAACTCTAGAAAAATGTACAACTCCTCATTCTGGACAACATAGCCCTGAATCTGTGAAGCTTGCATTAATAAGACACTATTTTTAATTTTTGCATGCTTTCAATAAGCATTGAGAGGTGAACAGTTTTATCAAGTTATGGCATCCTTAGCATTCCTATCACAGCCTGGAACTGCAGTCTTCCTTTTGTACTATAAATGCTGAAAGAAGAAATCAGCAAGGTGTATCACAGGCACTGCTTCATTTATCACACAGAAGGTTTATGGGTTGAAGAATGTATTCCATTTCAAAAAACCATTACCTGTTTTAAAGGTACAAGACACAGCACTGAACAAAGACTTAATATGTATCCTGCTGACAGCATGAGTATTAAGTCACTCTCAAGTCTCATACTGAGATGTTGAAAAAAACCCAGTAAGTTTTATGTGTTTTAAGTCAGCCCCTGACAGCCTGATTGCACTTATATGTAACATAAAGACTTATTTCCTATTTTAAGGGGTCTGTTTCACCCTGTAACAATGAAATCGTTTTTAGCAAGCCTGGACATGTACACTACACCCTTTCAGAAGCTGCATGGTGAGAGAACACTCAGTTCTGAAATGGCTACCCTATTGGCAGCCTTTCAGAAGACATTGTGCTCAGAGAGTCAGTGTCTTGGACAGGTCATGTCTGCTCTTAGGGCCTGAGAAAGTCATGTGTTATTAAGGTAATCTGTAATACATAAAATATTTGGGAAAGAGCTGCATGTGGACCAAGGGGTGGAAAGCACTGATCCTGAGCAGGAGCGTTTTGTACATCCAAGAGTCAATGCCACCGATGGCAGCTGCCATGCTGCATGTCCAGGGTGGCCTCAGGCCTGTGCTGTGCCACAAATATTCCTCAGCTGCAGGGGGTCTCCGGCAGCTCCCACTTGGCACCACTGCACGCACAGCCTTGCCTATAACAATGCAACAGCAAGTTCTTGTGAGAACAGACTCTTTTTTGTAAGAAAATTATAACCCAAATGACCCAAAATGAGGCATTTCCTTCAGTGTCTGTGCTATGTACAGTGTCTGTACTATGTACTGTGGGAAAATCCAACACATCTCCATCCAATACTGAATGGAGCACAGTCCCTGGCATCTGAAGCAACATCAAGATTTACTTGCTATCTGCCTCTTCTTTCTCATTAAAACAGTTGTTTTATCAAGCCATTTGTTGCAGACCTTCCTTACTGAGTTCCAGAAAGCATCCCTGCCTTCAGTGTAGAGCATTCTCCATAACCCTGAGAGAGCTTCATTCAGAATGTTGTATTCATTCAAAATGTTGCTTCATGCAACGTGCTGCCCTACTCTAAGCTTGTCTGCAATAAGGCTTTTTTGAAGGGCTAAAACATTAGAAGGGAGAACTGCGGAGAATTCTGGGGGAAAAACCCACACATTTATAGAAGTAAACACAGCTCAGGACAGCCTGTGGACTGAGGTCCCTGGTGCCTCAAGGGTTCTCTAGAGCAGGTCAGTGAAAGAAGGGAGAGCTAAACCTTGGAGCCAGCAGGGAACCTGGAGTGTGGGTCCTATTGTCTCACAGTGGTTCTACAGCCATAGACAATTTCCCACCCTTCGGTCCTGCATTTGAGGTCTCCGTTGGCAAGATGTTTCTAGGCAGCATTCAGGCCCCAGCCTGTGCCTGATCCTACTACAGTGGGGCTGTTTTCTTTCTAAGCAGGGTTTCCTTACTTTGCACCTCTCCTTCTTTTTTCTTGCTTAGTTACTGGGTTTTTTGTTATATTTAAAGCAGCATTTTCCTACTGCTCAAGGCTGTGCTTCTTCAATGACCCATGACTATCAAGTTCTGAAAAGCAGCAGCCACCATCTTCCAGTTAGCACATTAAGATGGCAAATTTCCTGGCTGTTCCTGCCCTCTTCTGTTTCCTGTAACCCCCAGGCCATCAGGCCAAGGCCCTGCTGGAAGTTTCTGTCCTCCCAGACAGAGCAGCCTGGGGAGCAGCTGACTTCACTCAGCCCAGCCAAGCACAGCCAGTCTCAGCTCACCCGCTGTGTTTCCTGCCCTGGGCATTCTTCTGCTCCGGGCTGATTCCCTCCAGATATGGGCAGCTATATTCATTACTCCTAAGCTGCACTGGAGCTAGAAAATGTATCTCAGTCTATATGGTGAAAAACTCTGTGGAAGGGGGAAAGAACTATTGGCAGAGCCACCTGCTTCAAACAGAAAACCTCCCACTGCAGCACCATGAAAGGGAAGAGCTTTCATTACCCAAAAAATGAGTAACTTGGAAACCTACTTTCTCCCTGTCCTTCTCCTACAGTCACATGAGTGGGAGGCTGCTGTAGATGGGTACTGAGTAAACTATATCAAGCTCCTCTAGTATCCAGCTTAATGGGAAAATGCAATTACTGTTCCAGAAAAAAATGCAGAGTAACTTCTTAGTGCCTTCTCCAAATGTTTCTCACTTCAGTAATGTATTATTCTGCTTCTAAGAACTGCACAGGTAATGGCAGACTGTGTTTGATCAAATGATTTAAAGAAATGGCAGGAGGCATGCAGTAAGAGCAATCCAAGTACATAACATAATTACTTGGCTGTATCATCTTCCTACCTGTCTTGTAATAAAAATCCCTGGGCTTCAACTAGTTACTAAGGTACAACACTTTTTCATAATTCAAATCAAAGTCTAGAGGAAATAAAAAATTAATATATTTTTCGTTCAAAACTCCTCAAGGCTCAGACAGGGTTTCTTCTGGAACTCTGTAAAGACCACAAGGAAACATAATTTGGTCTGATTTTATTATATCAATACTTCAGGAATAAAAATGCAGGCACCAAGGCTCAGTACAGGGATTAGTTTTATTTTGCAGGAACGCAAATACAAATTCAGCTCTGCTTTTGTCAGATACAGTGTTAATAATCAGAAAGACTGATACAAGCTGAAGCAGGAACTCTACACATTTGTTTTGTGGATTGTTTCTTGTGGAAGGTCTTTCCTTCCCAGATCCAAAGGCAAGCCAAGCCAGGTTTCCAGATTTGTAGATCTGTTATTAGTGAGTCTTTTGACAATGTATCAGCTTACAAAAAAGTTGGCAGCCTTAGCTAAAAGCTAAGTTGATCATTGCCCACTAAGAAGAGAATAGCATATTTCTCAACCTTTTCTGTTTTGTTACATACAAAAAACACATACTACTATTTCCTTCCTAAAACAGCATCATAGAGTTTTCCAGTTCTCTTTACTTGAATCACTCCAAAGCCAGCTGCCTCCAGGAGCTTGCTGTACTCTGCTGCTGTTCTCTCTTTCCCTTCTGTCTGGACCAACATGTTAATTGAATACAGTTGGGTTTCTACAGGTCCACTTTTGTCTTCATTCAGAAGGGATTCAACCAGCAGCACTCCACCACCTGATGGAGAGAAGAAAAAGCAAGCACACTCTGACATTAAGTCACATTTCAGCATCACAGAAGACAGTGAAAGAGCCAAAGCATTACAGCATGTCTTTGCTCAGCTATGTTGGTACTGACATTCCAGAGCTGAAGAGGGTGCTATGGCTGGGATGGAAATTTCCCATTTTCCCCAGCTGAAATTTACAGGATCTTACTGATTTTGCTTTGCAGGCAGTGCTTTTGAAACTCTGAGGCTTCATAGTGATGCTTAATGGGATTTCTTGCTATGATGTATATATACCTATCTAAACAATAGTGAAAGTCTCTCTGCTCTTCAAGAGTTCACACCTACCAGGTTTGCAAGCTTTGTAGACTTTTGCCAGCAGTTGTTTGCATTTGTCATCATCCCAATCATGCAGTATCTTGGATAAAATATACAGTTCAGCTTCGGGTATTGAATCATTAAAGAAGTCTCCTATAAAGCAAGAATACATGCATTATGTATCCCCACAACATGGAGAACTGAGTTATGCAAATATTTTCAGTTCTGTTTAATTCCTGGCTTGCAATGTCCTTCAGACATTATCAGACAGCAATGGAGATACCAGGTGAAAGTCCTCTGTTACACTGCATAGGGATCTTTGCTCTTGATCATTCTCAAGAAGACCTGAAACATTTAAAGGCAAAAACTCATCCTGAAACAGACTGATACACAGGAAAGTGTTTGAGTTTTGTTTTTTCTCCAATGACAGAAATTCAAATTCATACTGCACTAAGGAGATAGGTTCACATGGTTTCTGTCTCAAGTAAGAAGGAGAGAATATTGTCTTCTCTAAGAAAGTTTTCAAAGATCTTCAGTAATCACACAATTACTTCATAAATCCATAGGTAAAAATACACATCTTTCACCTCTTAGCACTAGTTTTATTATTCCTTTTGTTTAGCACCTGGTGTATTGCATTCAGATTTTTTTCTAGCATTTTACTTTGTCATTTCTTCTCCCATTTTGTTGCATCTTTGGTTTTATACGCTCCCTTCTCTCTTCAAGGCTTCTTTTCTGTCTCTCAGCTTTGAGCAATTTTAAGCACTTCCAGCACTTTGGAGACTTTTGTAATCATTAAAAATGAGATCTCCCTATACTAATTTTCCTCATAGATAGTACAAAGACTATGTAGGATCAGTGGCCTGGTCAAGAGGAATAGGAGCTAGCTCACCCACTTCCATGTTCTAAAATATCTTAGGACTTGAAGATCAATCAGTTGTGACCAGAGAAGAAAAAACCCTAGTTCCTGGCATCCCTCACATCTGCCAGGGGAGAAAAGGGGAGTGTTAGGAAAATTTATAACAAAGCATGGCAGATTTCAAAATTGCATGATGCTTTTTTTTTTTTTTTTACTAATGTACCTTGCTCTTAAGAAATGAAATAGTTCTCTTCAGGAATTAATGTTGCTGAATAACTGAGTTGTGTCTCTGACAGCTGCTGGTGCACAGCTGGGACAGCTGCAGAGCTGGGCTGGGGAGGCTGCTGCCCAAGGCACTGCTCCCATAAGGGGCAGCTAGAGACCTGAGTCTCCAGTACGACACCTCTGAGCAGAGCCAGGGCTCTGGAGCAACAGCTGGCACAACACCACACCACTGTCCACACCTACCTTCATGGAAAGTGATCTGATGCTCCTCGGGGGAAACAAACTGTTCTTTGGCCATCTGCACAACTTTGGGCAGGTCATAGATTGTGACGGTAGAATTTGGATACAAAGAAACACACTCTTGGGCCAAAGCTCCTCCACCTCCTTTGGGGACAGTAAAAGAAGGTCAGTACTGACACAAACCCAACCTGTTCAGTGACACCCCCATGCAAGTACAGAGGCAATGGTGCGTTCAACCTCATGGAAGCTGGCAATGTACATTTGCAGCCCATGTTTTGCTGGGAGGAAAGAGGGGCAGGAGAAGTCACTGTCTCCATGTGTTCTGCAGGAAGGTGCAGGGCCTGCAGCACCAGGCATGTGGGGTCAGCCCCAGCTCTCACCACTCTTACACTCCCTCCTAGCCAGACCAGTGGCAGGTGCTGGAAGGTGAAAAATGAAAAACAGAGTTACTAAACCAGGCTCTGGGGAAGAAGCAAGGGAGGCCAGGAGGGAGCCTGCCTTGTCCCATGAATCCTGGCAGCATTCAGCTGTGCTGGGACAGCAGGGTGCTGCAGGATAAGAGGCTGTAGGCAGTACCTCAACAACAGTGACTGAAGGAGAAGAAGAGTCTAGCACTGGAAGAATGTATCAAACAAGGCACAAAAAATGCTAAGGCTGCCACATCCACAAGGGGATGAGTGACTACTCACATAAATCAGACTATAGAGAAAAACATTCAGCTTCCTAATGCTCTCATCACTCTCACATTTCTGTTTTTAACTGAACCAAAACATTAAAATTCTCCTTATATTGCTATGTCCTGCTTTCCATAGTTTAGCCCATCATATAACATAGGAGTTGCTTTCCTCTGCAGAGCTTATAAAAGACAGTTCAGAGGCTTGTTAAAGAAGATCTGACACTCACCTCCCAGGTCATAGATCTGCATGAAAGGGGAAAGGTCAAATGCAGCAAGAACATCTCTGCCACATATACTCCATACTGAGTTCTGGCCAGCCATGAATCTTAGCATTTCTTCATCTGATCTAGCAATGCAAAAAGAGACAGCACAGAGAGAGGGTTCCTTACCACATTCTCAGAGATTCCTATAATATAAGTGCTGCTGCATATTTTGCTTAAACAAAAATCTCTGGTTTTATTGACGCAGAATATGTCCTCTTTGCATATAAACCTACTTTGAATATTATTGTGTCAGGAGTGTACAACTATGAATTAATGCATTTAAATAGAGAATTAAGACTAGTGAAATCCAACAGTGTTTCATGCTGCTCATTCTCAGAATTTCCAAGGGATTTTTTTTTCCTTCAACTACCATTGCCTCTGTCAGAGATCTGTGATGTTTTTCAGATTAGGAAATTATATTCAAAATATCAGACAGTTTCCCAGTAATTGATATTGTTGAGAAGTAAAAACACTGCATGACGTGATGAGAGGAATTCTCACATCATCATACTTAATTGTCCTGAGTAATAATTAAAAACATTAGTTTTATCCACAACAAGAATAAAATTTCTATAAATATTCTAATGATTACCTGTACATTGCTCCAAAAGGGTCTTTAGATGAAACACCAAAAGCTCTTTCATATTGGTTTCTTCCTTCTCTAAAATAGCAATTGAAAAAGCCTATGAGAGTGCTGAGATATTTCTCAACCTCTCACAAGAATGACTGGTTATTTCCAAGGTCAGAGTGGGATGGTACTTTGAGCAATGTGATCTAGTGAGGGGCATCCACCGTAGGAAGGTTGGAACTAGATGATCTTTAGAGCCTCTTCCAACCCAAATATTCCAGGATTCTGTCATTTATGCGAGCACACCTGAGGTTAAGGTACAAGAGTGATGCAATCATCGCCATGATCTACACCACGTTTGGTCATCCGTTGCATGGACTGGAACAAGTCAGACTCAGACCCATACTAAACTGCCCCAATGAACCTTTGCAACAGAAGGACCCTTACCCACCACTACTCATTATTTATTTTGTTTATGCCATGTCCAATAAGATCCACTGTAATGATAAAGTGCTTTACTGAAGGTGACACAAAGAAATCTGATTTCTAGATCATCTCTACAATTACAGGGAAAAGGAAAACAAGAACATACACAAATGTGAAACAAGGAGGGGGAAAAGCACACACATGGCCATGTTAACAGCTGAATTATCTGTTGCTTTTAATTTCTAAGAACCAGCCAGCATCTTTATTGAGCTCTTCCCCAGAAACACGCCACTCAGAGCAGCAACACAGATGCTGCAAAGCACCAGACAGCACACAGCACTCCTCCTTACCTCACAGCATCAGCCAGGTACTGCCAGCACAAGTAGACTGTGTTGGAATAATACATCATAATATGATACTGAGACTTTGGACTTGATTTTGTAAGGTAGATGTTGGAAATTTCTGTGTTTCTGTAAAGGGCTAAAGGGTAAAATAAATATATTTACTAACATACATGATATATCACCTTGCCAAGTCTGTTGTACAGCTTAGTGTTTATCACCAGAAGATGTCTATACAGCCAAAGACACAGGCACATTATTTCTACAACCAAATCCTTCCACTGCAATGAGCAGTGGGTGATGGCTGCTGAAATCTGTGTTGACCTATTCCATCATAGGCTTCTGCTCTCAGAGGAAGCTTTCAGTGTGCTTTATTTAAGTGAGAAGTCTTTGCAGACAAGTCTTTTTTCAGATCAACAAGGTCAGCAGGTGGGAGAAAAATCCCCAAAACAGCAGGCCAGCCACACCTACCCTCCCTCAGTTCACTAGGGCAGGACCTTCTGCAGAGAGAAGAACACCTCACTCCCTCCAGTGCATCTGCAGTGGCATCACTAACCCACAGGACTTGCATAAGATAGATAGATAGATAGATAGATAGATAGATAGATAGATAGATAGATAGATAGATCCTGCTCTCCCCAAATTCATCGGGCAACAACTATAATCCCTAAAACAGAGCATGCTAACACAAGGCAGAGCAGGGGACACAACTTGTGAGACTCTAGCTAGTCCTGACCAGCTGTCTGATGGCCAGAGATCTTTCTGTCCAAGTGGATTCCATGTTTCTGACACAAGGAAAAACTTATATTACCTCTCAGTTCTGATCAAAAACCTAACAAAATAGTTCACATAATGGTAAAAATGCTAAGAAAAACAAAACCTGTTTTAAATCATGCTGTTACCGTGCACCCTGGCATTTTGTTTTAAGTTTAAAATCCTGCCCATACCCCAGAGATTTCTGGAGACAAGTTCAACAGAGCTCCTAAATATCTTCTCCAAAGTCACATGGCTCTTGTACAAAGACATTTAGGGATATAGAACCCTGCAGCAGTGTTTCATTTTATACTTGTGATCATGCTGACATTTGCTTCTTCTCTTTCAGCTGAAGAGGGAATCCTAAGAGTGATTCTCTCCTTCTTCCAACTACATTAACTGACTTAACTTTTGGTATCACCGTTGCCCACACATCTTACCTCACTTTCAAAGCCATTAGAGGTTTAAATCTTTCAACTTATTCCCATTCCTCTGCCTTTATTACCTCCTTCTTGTGTCATCTCTACTGCCAAGAGCTTCAATCCCACACAGGCATCCAGCAGTCTTTTCATCCCCATGGTGCTGGCACTCAGACCTGCAGCAATGGCATCTGAAGGCAGAGGCTTTCCTGACTCTTGAAGAAGATCAAACACCCCCAGCTCACAGGCAGTGAACATAACCTGGGAGTAGGGAAAGATGGGAGTGAGGGATTAGGTAAAAGCATAAAGCCTACTGCATTTCACAAGCTGCTTAATTAGGGAAAATATAAATTTAATAATATTTATTTCAGATAAACTTGTATTTCATATAAACAAGTCTAATTATTAAATTGTAGTTTATCCAATATAAGATACATGTAATGCACTCCTTGGTCTTATTTTCTTCCTTTTCCAGTGAAGCTAGTCAATGCTTTTTGGCTTCCAAAAGTCCACATTTAGAGAACAGATTTTGTGTGTAAATGTCCCTGCCTCTTCCTTAGTTTAGGAACACATTCTCACAATTTCCTGGAAAGAACAAAGGCAAGGCTGGGTGGCAGTGCTTGTTGTCTGTTTATCTTTCTGTTCTTTAACTAAGGATCTAACACATGCTTCAGTGAACCCTGGAGACTCTCACATAGCTTGCAATAGGGGGAATATCACATTCTATGGATCTTGTTTTCAGGGACTGATGTGGATGACTATAGTCATTCCAGGCTATGTGAATGACTATTGTCATCTTCCAGAAGCAGGGAGCTTCCTCTCATCCAGAAGAACTGCTTCATTCAACCAAACAAAATTGTCCAGTCTTTCCATAGAGTTGTGTAACTTATCCATCAACATTCATCAGCCTTCAGGCAGACATAGCTAATCATACATTAAAAAAAAAATAAAGAAAGAACCAACCATCTTTCTTTAGATATACACAGTCAACCTTACAAGTATCAGCCTATTACTCTGGTCATATAAACACTCCTGAAACTGTAACAAAGACATAAATTTAATTGACTGCCTGTATGTACAGTGATTTGAGATACGATTCCTGCACAATGAAGCTCCTGAGTAAGACCATGCCTTAACCAAAGTTGAAATTGTTTCTCAAAACCATACAACTAACAGTGTAAATTTGGAAAGCATTGCACACTTCTTTTTCTCACAAAATGATTTTTCATTATCTATTTTTCCTCTCTTGATTATCAGCTTTGCCTTTCAGGAGCTTAAAGTGCAGTAAAGAGCATTCCTCCTGTTACCATGTTGGCCAGAGGTACAGCAAGGGACAATAGGAAAGTTAAGTAGTAAATTAGGAAAAAAATAATCTGCTGCACTGGATATTATAATTTTATGCTCATGTGCTTAGGAAAATAATATCAGCAAACAAAAGTGGAATTACTAGTTTTGGCTTTGTTTTTCCAAACATATTTTTAAGGCACAGTCATTATACCAGTGCTTTCACCTCTTCCAAAGACTTACATTCAGTACCTGAAGAGAAATCCCTGGATATGTCTTTCTGCATACTCTAAGTTATATATCTTACCTTTGAGATTAAAAATCCATTGCTGTATTGCACAATGATTTGAGGATAGTCAAGGTCTTCCGTGGAACCCATCTTCCTTCTGGACTGAGACACAGATTCCCTGGCTCTCTTAATTTAAATAAGCTTCTTTTCACTAGACACAAAGCACACCAGCTGATCCACATAATCTTACTGCTTTTGTGCAAAACACTGGTTACACAAAACGTGTTAGCTGAGTTATTTGGCTTTGATGGGTCTTTGTACTTGGTTCAGCTGTTTCTTCCATCATCAAGTATAAGATTAAAGAAGCAGTGTGGATTAAACTTGTATTGTCAGTCTGCAACACACTGGCACCTCAGAAGCACTTGAAAGCTGGTAACAAGGAAAACAGGAATAACTACAGAAGAATACCAAGAACCTGAACTCAGCATGATGAACCAGAGTTCATAAATCAAAGCAGAATCTTACTTGGGATTTGAAATTTGCTGTGGGCACAGTCCAGGGGACCCTGGGCTGGCAGAAGGTGCAGAAGCTGCAAGTCCCAAGAGAAGCTGTAAGTCTCTGTTGCTGTTTTCTTAATGTGATTAATTTGCTCTGATGATGGTCACTCAGATAAAGCCTACAAGGAATTAAAACTACCTTTGTACTTTTCTGTATTTTGCAGGTTCTCCCATTCACCCTGATACCAGCTTAGAAAGGAATACCTGCAGCACCTCAGCAGGGGTGTCCTACTTGTGCTTTGTCATGTTTTGACAGAGAAGGGTGCTGAGAGATGACAATATATTTTAAATTTTCCAGCTGGCTACCACAGTTTTCCTCCCCTTCTCTGCAAAACTAACCATGGGCAGCAGAAGGCCCTTGGGAAGAAAGAATGAAATGATTGCAAAGTGCAAAATGGGGCATGGATTTCAACTTCACACAGGTTACCTCATAGGTTTTCATCAGAAAATTAAACCCCTGGATTACTTTCCTGAAATCTTGCTGTCCCACTGTTAATTTCTCTGTCTCTGTCTGACATCTTGCCCACCTTGAAACACTCAGGTGAGGAAAGATCCTTTCCATAAGGAAAAGACTCAGATTTTATGTCACACATTTAGTGACCCTTTAGGAAATGAAATGTTAAATGAAACCTTATTTAGGTAGTACACTGAAGGCAAAATGTTACAAACCAGCATTTTTTCAGTGGCAGCTTTCTCCCTGCTTCAGATTTCCACTGTATAATCCTTCTCTGAATCTGCGCTTTCTAACTAAATCATACATAATCACACATCACCAGCCAAAGATAACTACTGTTAGACAAAAAAATTAGAAAGTTGTATTAAAAAAAAAAAAAAAATTCTCTTCTAAAGACCAATTCCACCTGCTTCTGAGAAACTGGTGCAATTTTATGCAAGCTTAAGGATTTCCCACTCCTGGGAACATAACAGCTATTCAGCCCCAGGCCATAAATGCACTTCACTTAAGGCAAAGTTATATGGTACATGAGTCTCCACTAATAAAATGACCACACAGTTGATTAAATACACTTGAAGTTCTTTTTCAATTATGACTAAATCTCTCTGTTGAGGATACCAGTTATAATCATCTAATGGCATTACTACTAGTAGTGAGATATAGGGGAGGAGGCTGGCAGATAACCCACGCCAGATTGAAAAAAGCCACAGGCAGAAACTGTTTCCAAGTAAATTGTTAGTGAGGCTTAGAGTTTAAGCTCCTTTTAAGCTAGAAATGCATTCATGAAGATGAAATTGAAATGGCTTCCTTTCTCTGAAAACCCTATCAAGATTTCTTTCATAGGGCTTAGACCACATGGTGGCTAAAGCCCGTATTTTACCACCATAGTTCTATTTCAGTGATTCTATTTCATTTTTCTTTGCCTAAATGACTCACTAGAGTCAAATGCTACACAAAAAACAATTGTCATTTTTGCATAAAATTTGAAAGTAAGAAATTCTGTATGAATAAAGGAGATTTAGTAAAATGAGTGTGTCTGCCAGTGAGAAATGTCAGACGACACTATCTTCTCACACAAAACGTCCCTTATAAGCAAAAACTACAAATCTCAGGGATGTGACTACAATGAGTTTCAATAATGCCAGTAATAATATGCCTTGCTATCATGACTAAGTCTCTAAGTATACCCAACTTCTAACAGATGCCCTGGAAGGGCCCTAAGGTAATAGTTTGTGGCCTTTTTTTAAACAATTCTAAAAAAGAAGATACTCAGTATCATGCTTTTTCTTTGAAATAGAATATCAAGTTTTAAATGCTCCTTTTCTTTGTACCTTCTAATTTCTCCCATATTTTACAATAGATGCATTTTCGTATTAACATTATTATTTCCATCACTTTTGACACACACCAATTTTAGTTTTTTCCTGTTTTCATCACATATAATAATAGCAAACACTTGGAGTGGGCAGAAATCCTGTATTTCCAGCTCATTTTCTAAGCAAACCCTCCCTTCTCTTTAGATTCATGTACAGTAAAAACTCTGAGAATATCTTTTAAAGTGCATCTCAGGCAATCCAGAGCTGTTCCTGCTTTAACTTGTGGACTGCAAATAATCTCTCAACAAATAATTCAACTAGTCATTTCTATCAGAGGAAAGTCCCAGCAGACAAGTCATAGTCTTCCTGAGGATATTCAGCTACATCAGCTACAAGTGGTAAATGCAGAAACTTTAGAAAGAGAGAGAGAGAGATGCAAAAGAAAACCAAGATGGATAGCAGCTGGGGCAGGCTCTGATTTCAGAAATTGCTCATGTTCAGTCAAGCATCACAAAGGAAAATCGTGGATATACATCTGCCTTAAAAAGGCCATTTTAGAGGCTTGGTTTTGTTGGAGATGGCAGGAATGCTTTCTTACCCAGGGGAGGTGGTGAATAAATTCCTCATTTTGCCTTGCTTGTGCATGCAGCTCTGGCTTTACCTTTATATTGTGTTTATCTCAATACATGAGTTTTCTCACAATTCTCTACCCCATCCCAGTAGGGGTGTGTGAACAGCTGCATGGAGCCAAGTTGCCAGCTGCCATAAATCACAGCAGCAAGACATGTGCAATGAACAGAAAATATTTTTCCAGCCCTTTCTTTTTACATGGAAGTAGAAAGTAACAGACACCATCAGGCAATTCCTCAGAGCGCTGACAAACACATGTTCAGGATCATATGTAGAAATGCAGGGAAAATCTAATATGAAGGTAATCAATTCTTGTTCAGACACTTTGCTGGCAGTGTCTGGGAGTGACATCGCTTCATATTATCCTACAAATAATCCAGTATCATGGACAGCACACCTGAACATCCCATGCAGAGCAGGTAGAGCTCACCTGGCAGGAGTCACAGTACCATGCAGCTAGATTAGTTATCATTTAGAGAGCAATTCCAATCAGCCTTAGCCCTTAACATATGTTATAGCAAAGCATTAGCTTATGATTTTTTTTTTTTTTGTCAGGCAGCAGGAGATTCAGGAGCACATGAGGGGGTACCAGACCAAATTGATTTTCTGTGCTGCCTCTTAAGAAGAAAGATGGTGGTGCACACTTCAAACAAGACTCAAGAGCCCACTATTAGATTAATATAGGACACTTGATTCATTCTGTGCACCCAATTCTAAAGCATCAACCCAGTTTTGAAGAATCAATGGCAACTGGATTGTTGCTTTATACAAACACTAGAGACAACTGCAAATTTATTGTGAAGCAGCAAAAGATACCTTCTGCCAAATAATATGTTCATTAAACTTGGAAAAGGCCAGATCAACAGAATGCAATGTAAGCTTACTGAAATGGGTGTTGTATCCAGAATAATCATACCTCAGAAGCAGGATACAAGATCAAGGCACAGGCATAATAAACAAAAATATGATCTGTATAGTAATATAAGACATCAGTGGCCAATTTTGCCCACATATTTATAAATTAAGATATTTGCCAAACTCGTTGGTTTAATTGCTGTCTTATATAGAATGTAACATCTCTTAGATTTCTTACCCCTTTGAGACTCCTGCTCTTCTTTGCTTCACAAGGGCTGCAGAAAAACCACTCCGGGTTGCCACTGCCAACAGCTATGATGAGGCAGCAGCACATGCACCAGCTCCTGCCCAGAAAAGCAAACTCAAGAGCTTTGGCCCACAAACTTCAACTCAGACCTTGCTGAAAGCAGTCTGTGATTAGCAGGGTTCGCATCTCCAACAGGAAGAGGTCATTGCTCCCTTGTATCACTAGATGATCAGTACACTTCAAAACCCTATCCATCCTCATGAGCAAATAGGGTTCCCACTTGATCCTATCCTTCTGACAAAGGACATAAAGGAGACATTGTGGTGTCAGATGTGTAACAACTGAGTTGCATTCTTACAACCAAGAAAACTCTCCTCCTGTCTGATCATGTGAGTTAAGAATGATCAAGAGTGACAGAACACTGGCATAAACACTGGGCATTTCTTGGGAGTCAGTACATGAAATAGGGCGCAGAGGTCTCTTTCAATGCTGCCTAGACTTTCCAGCAGGCATGAACACAGGGCTATAGAACAAAGTTGCCCAATCCATGGTTTAATAGGATTTACACCGTATTTATACCATACAAATCATGCTCACTGGGGAAATTTTCCCCTAGTGAAGGAAAAAAACCTACCTACAGTTAGGAGTGAACCTGAGCTTTCCCCAGCAACAAAGCCTGATTTTAAACTAAACTTAAAACTGATAGGTACGTCTGCCTGACACAGGGCAAGAAGCTGAGTTCTTGGCTTTTCAAGAACTACAGATTTTGGAATGACACAGAAGAAACAATCCCCTCCCTTGACCAGATAGTAAGACAGTAAGTGATGTGCCCCAGGACACAGCCTGCCCTCCTGCCTGACAGGCTACACCGAAACCCACCTTCCACTTGTTATCCATCACAATCCACAGGTCCCTTTCTGCAGTGGTGCTCTCCAGTGTCTTGCCCCCCAGTATGTGTGTACATCCAGAGCTGCCCCATTCCAGGTGCAGAATCCAGCACTTGCCCTTCATATGAGTGGGGATTGGCCTGCCCTCTGAATTATCTATGCCTCTCTGCCTTCGAGGGACACAACAGCTCCTCACAATTTAGT